AACTCAGCAGCCAGGATTTCTTGTTCCATGTCAAACATTTCTCTTATTTCTTCAACTTTAATGTGTGTGTGTGTGTGTGTGTGTGTGTGTGTGTGTGTGTGTGTGTGTTTGGTAGAGGGGGATCACTTTTTTCCTTTCATTTCTTAGAGCTTATTCTTGTTTTCAGTTAATTTTTCACACTATCTTTTCTTATTTGCAGATGAAATAATTCTCTATTTTTAGTTTATAATTTTGAGGTTCCTATGTTCTCTACTGTATCTCTTTTTATTATATGCACTTACTGCTTTATCTTGTTGTTCATATGAACTATTTTCTTCATATAGATTGATACTTAGTTATTAAAGGCCACAGATTTTCCTGGGAAGTTGGCATGCGCTTTCTCTGTTTCGTATACACAGTATGTTTTCTGCCAATATCTTCTTAACTAGAATGGTCAGTTGGGATTTCTATGTCTGAAAGTTACTGCTCTGCGGATTTTATTTACACAGATTAAACTATTTTATTTTTCAAAAGAATAACTATAGAACTATTAATATAACTATCAAATTTTGGAAAGTGCTATAGTCTAAATGTGGCCAGTACCCCAAGGCTTCCCATATCAAAGGCTTGCTCCTCAGTGTGGAGGTACTGAGGTAGTAGAACCTTTTAAGAGTTGGGTCCTAGTGGGAAGTAACAAGGTCACCACTAAAGACATTTCCTTAGGGGTTTGTGGATGAGTTCTAACAAGAATAAGCTGTAATTTGCAGAAGAGAAGAGGGTAAGAGGACAGAACTTTAGAAGCAAGGCTTACCCCTCCCTGCTCTCTGGCTTCCTGCCTCACTGTGTAATCTTTTTACATATGCTGTCAGGAGTCCATCAGCCACGAGACTAACAGGAGGCCAAACAAACGTGGCTACTGATCTCATACAAACTGAGCTAAGTAAACCTCCTTTCTTTAAACTTTACCTAGGCTCAGGTGCTTACTATAGCAATGCAAGACCGACTAACTAAGGAGGTATGGGGAATTCATTCGCAGCCTTTTTGTTTTGGTCAATTTGTGGAAAAAAAAAAATTCTATTCTTAAGCATCTGAAAATCGCTGGCCCTTTATTTCCTTTTCCAGGCTCTTTACAAGCCTAACCTATCTTCACCTTCATAGTCTACTTTTTCTTAATACAGATCTACATTCTGAGATCAATGTTATACTTACTATTTCTTCAGCTGCCATGGCAAATTCCTGCCTCCACTTTGGTGTCAACATATATGACCTTTGCTGTTGCTGTTATAATCAGCAGAGCAGCTCTGCCGTGTCCCCGGTCCCCTTCCCTATCGACCCATCCAGGCTTGACCAGAGCTTAGTATCTTATATATGATTGCTTACAGAGAGTTAAATTCACATCGGAACAGAATCGACAGACAGTTGTGAGGCTAAAGAACCTGGACTTGAGGCGAGAACTGCTGGTCTGTAATTTGACAAGGCATGACAGCACCGCATGAACGAAACAGGAAGGAGGTGTGGCCTTACCTATAGCAGAGGAGGGCATGCTAGTGGTAGAGTTATCTGTGCACAACTGATAGGAGGAACTCCTTAATCCCTGAACTTACTCGGTTATAGTAGAAGCACAGCCTCAAACAGAGATGGATGCATTTACATGCTACAAGCTGATGTGGTTACATGTTATATATTTGACTCCCTATGATTTGGCTTCATGATGGCCAAAAATCTTTGAATTTGGTTTCCCTATGGTGTATCTACCAAATGCTTGGATTAGAAACAAATCTATTTGATTATTGCATCTAAAACATAAACCATAAGTTAATAAAATAGTGTTCTTAAATCAATCACCAATGACCCTGAGGTGAGTGAACTCATTTTGAGACTAGGGAAGCTAACATACCAAACAAAAGCCTGAATACAAGTAGGAGGTCAAATCCAAGTTCCTACTGAAGCTACATAAGAGTACCCTAACCCCAGTAAATCTGGTTAGAAACAAACCAAGAGTCTCAGCTTACTCTGCTCAGGCTGACATGATATCACTATGCAGCCCGGGCTGGCCTCAAACTCTAACTGATCCTTCTGGGTCAGCCTCCTAAGTGCTGAGATTGTAGGTAAGAGTCACCATGCTGGGTCTATCTTCTTGCACTATTTTCTTTTTTTCAAACATGTCATGATTTTAATTAGCAGTATACTATGTGTTAGAAATTATTTTAAGAACAGCAATCATCTTTCTCATGTAGCATTTTTTAAAAATGAATTATTTCTCTTGCATGTCAAATTACTTTGATGAAATTTCAATACATATTTTTGTTAATATTGCTATTGGTCACAATTATATGGCTAATTTTGCTACTCATAAGTAGAAACTGGGTATTCAGGACCCTGTGAACAAATGATTCTCATGTAACTTATGGTAAACTGTCAGAATGCATTATTACATGCACCCTTACTTGCTGAAGGTCATTAAAGATATACTAAAGCTCTTCTTCACATACCTTTCCAGAGACTTCTAGGTACCCTAAGCTCTGGCAGACACCAACGAGTTAACTACATACATTCAAGTTTCCATCTTTCCAGTTCTTAGTCTTCCTTCTCCATCTCAGAAAATCTAAATGTTAACTAAAAGTTCAACATGAATAACATCTTTTTTTTCTTTTTTATTGAGACTTTTCAATGTACACCAAGCCATCAAGACTAAAATTAATAATGTTGGTGACTACAGCAAATAACAAATTATCCTGAGACCAATTTATAACTTATTACTTGCCTCATCAGCCTTCCAGACTCAGCAGCATTAACAGGGCTCCTTAATTGTATTAATCAGGAGTTGAGCTCAGACTCTCTGCACTGAAAGGCCACATGAACTGTTAAGGTACAATGAAATACTTAATTTCATTTTATACTCTAAATTTCAGTGGCCTAGGACTTAGCCTAGCTTACTTAAGTATCAATCTACAGAAGATAAACATTTCTCAGATAAAAGCATTATCTCCCATTAAGAGAGAGATCAATAATATATAATTACTAAAATTATTTAAATCTGTTCTTCTGTTAAAACAATTATTACTTGTCCTTTATATTTTATTTGGGAGCCTTTGTTTTATTTCCTTTTAGTTCATTGAGGTCTACATTTATTTCATCTTTCTCCTACAGGCTTTCCCTGTTCTTTTCATATGCATTCCAAGATCTCATAAAGTCTTCTTTGAAGCCATGAGGTGGTGGTGCACGCCTTTAATTCCAGCACTCAGGAGGCAGAGGCAGGTGTATCTCTGTGAGTTTGAGGTCAGTCTGGGCTACAAGAGCAAGTTCCAGGACAGTCAGGGCTACAGAGAAATCCTGTCATGGAAGAAAATAAAGTCTTCTTTGACTGCCCCACCCCACAGATCACTCTCACTTTTGAACTCCCATAAGAACTGAATGCCTGCAACCTCTTTTACTGCTACTGTAACTATTGTATCATTTTTATATGCATTTAACAGTTCTTAAGTATTTCTGTGTCTCAGCAGTACCTGGCAGAGCACAGACAATAAGTATTAATTCATTCAACCAGGACATTCATTAGGGAAAACATAGTCAAAGCTGATATTGAAAGAGAAAAGAGCCTATTTTAGTGTGGTCCACAGATCAGCCACACTGGGATCAATCCCCTGGAAGCTCACTAAGGCTGCCTATCAGGACCCACCCTAGTTGTCTGGTCAGAAACTGCCTTTTAGGATTCTCAGGTGATCTGTTAGCACTGTTCAGGTTTGAGAAACAGTTGCTCAGACTCAAGAATGATTAGGATATTTAAGATATAACACCAAATAACTTCATTGCAATTGCTTGTTTGTTGGGCTTCCTTATCTACTAACTGAAGGCTTGCTGAGGGCAAGAACTCTTTCTATCTTTCTCACCACCAGCGTTTCCTGACCGGCCTAGCACACTCAGTATTTTTCTCCTTCTTGAGTGCATAAATGACTGGGGGGAAATTAAAATAAACTGTTTCAGAAAGCTAATTTAGGTAGTTCTTTTGTATAACACAATTTCACATATCGCCATACAAACCCCTTAATTCAATTATTAACCAGTTTTAAAATGTGCAGCTTTCTCCATTTTAGCAGCTGTATCACATGAACTTGATAAAGCAAACACCTGATTATCCTCCTGTCCTCTGAGAGAGCCTCCAGGGGCCTCTTTTACAAGTGAAAAGGCTGCATTTTAATTCTAGCTTTCACCAATCTGCCCTATGTGCCCGCACAAGGAGAGGGAGAGGGCAGTAAAAATGGTATGGCAGGGCAATTCTGAATCTCTAAATATACGGTCAGAATATGCCTTTTAAGATTCCCAAATGATTTGTTAGAACATTTTGGGAAGTAATGGTGTGGACTCTAGAAGTATAATTAGACTATTCAGGATGTATATGACCACGATTGGTTGAACAGAATACTTCAGGAAATAACTACTGGCAGAGGAATTAAATAAGAAGAGAACCCTTGTCATTTTCAAGAGCAAATGGTGATACCATAAAATAGAGTGAAACAGAACAGCGATTTCCTAGCGACAGAGGGTGGCAACACACCACCAGACCAACACCAAAGCAGATAGTGGTTAGAAACGTCCAAGAAACGTACCAGGAGCCACTTTCAGGTTCAGCAAAGAAGGAAGTCAAGGGAGAAAGGGGAAAGGAAATGGATGCAGAGTAACAACGATGAGGATGATGCGGATGAAGTATTTTTGAGAATGAGAGCTGACACACACTGGAAGGGGAGGGTGATAAGGAAGCAGGTTGCAGTGTAGCTCTATTGCCAAAAAAAAAAAAAAAAAAAAAAAAAAAAAGCTACTGCAAATGTCTCTGCCCAGCCCAGACCTCCCGAGGGAGACAGCCCCTACATAGGTGAGAGGCATCGCCCAATTCCGCTAGCCCTGCGGTGGCCGGAGCCACCTCCCCTGGAGTCTGCAAAGCCCTGGGTGGGTGCCGGAAAGGGCGGACTGTTAGAGGGTGGGCAGGAAGAGGGGGACGGATGCTCGGGTGACCAGGTACCCACCTTGTCCCACCGCAGCCACTGACCAATGGCCGTGTCCAGCTGGGGGTCCCCGGTGAGGTAGGGGGCGTGGAGCAGGTTGGAGTTCAGGTCACCATCTGCGTTCTCAGCCATGGCAGACACACGGGCGTGCGGGCCCGAGGGGCGGGTGAAGACACCGAGTCGGGGGGCTCCGGGTGCGCTCACCAGGGTCCAGACGCCCCCTCCTCGCCGAAGGGCATCGGAGACCAACCGCGAGGCGTTCGGTCAGCGCCAGCCCCTGCCGCAGCTCCAGGGAACCGGGAGAGAAGGCGGAGACTGTCACCCGCCTCCCTGGTAGAGCAGCTCCGGATCTCAGCTCGAACTGACTGAGGCGGGCGTGAGGCGAGAGAACAACAACAGTCCCAGATGTCTGGGTCGCCGCCTTCGCCCGCGCCGCCTTAGGCCCCGCCCCGCGCCGCTGGCCCCGCCCCCTCCCCCGCCCCCTCCC